AGGTTCAAATTTCCAAGTCTTAGGCCATACTTTAATCACATCTTCAAACTTTTTGATGCAATCATAAACGCTAGGAAATGCTCTTGCTGTATAAACCGAAATTATAATACCATTTCCAAGTGAGGAAGAGAAAGGCAGAATTAAAATACCATGCAACTTTCAATAAAGTCTTTTTCACATAAGCTCACGTAACGGCACAGTGCTTGTCCAACGTGTCACCTGATTTTCAGCCCACTCAAAGCATAAACATGCCTTATTAGTCACATGGTTCAGGTTTGACGGCCCTTTGTAGTTTCTCCTCAGGAATCAGCCTTGGCTAGGCTTTCTGCTCTGTTCCATGAGGTCCCACTGAACTCCCAAACCGCTAATCTTAGGTCAAAATGAGAGAATCTGTTGTGATAAATAAGAAAATGGAAAGACAAAGGAACAAAGCTAAAACACCAGAGTGGAATTGGATCATCTTGAATGCCAAAATAAACTAGAAAGGAGCTTATCAATCATTCCACACAAAATGAGTTTGTTTGCATGAGGCTGAAGGAAGCCTCATTACATAACAGCTTGGCACACCTACGGGTGCAGATCATGGCTTTTCACACAATCCCCACTCTCCTCCTTCATGCAGGGAACACACAGGCTTTAATTACTTTCTACCAGCTGGCTCTGAATTTCAGTATCAACAGTTCCATCAGTTTCCCAGGTTATTTGTTCCCACAAACTCCCAGGCAGCTTCAAAGCCCAAGAGAGAAAAAATGAAACATTAATTACTCTAAAATTAAGATTTTTTAAATGATAAGCTTTTAATACATTTTTATTATTATCATTCTTTAATTTCAAAACACAAAACTTACAATTTTATCTGAGATCAACGCCTACATTCCCAGTGATCACTCTGTGACCACTTCTTAATCGGTAATGCAATCTAACATGTGATAATGCTTATTAAAAATATGTATATGTATTTCAGTATCTATCAGTGCACCAACAATTCAAATGTAGAATGTAAAACTCTCAAATTCTTTCAACAGCGATTCTCCCTCTTCATTCTTCTTTTTAGAAAAGTACCCAATATCACGAGAACCTGCACCCCTGTGCTTTACCTCCTACATCAAAACACCATCACGGGCCAGTCAATTATTTACCACATTACTTCACGTTGCAGCTGCTCCGCACCATGCATCCATGCATTCCAGCTTTCTGAATGTGATGCACGATGGGATCATTTCCATGAGAAATCCCAACAAATGCACACAGAGATTCCTTACACTATTCAGCCTAGGTGGCCTTCTGTCTGTTATTAACAGTTCCTCCATAAGCAACAGCTTCTGCCTCTCTCTATTGAGTACTCCCTGTACCACACTGCAGACATGACGGGACTGTGATAGATGACACAGATGCCACATTTCTTCTATTCTGCATTCGCTCTACAATAAATACATGGATCTGCCTATAGCCATATCTGCCCTGTAGCCATCAGTTCAGCCCTGCCTGCGCCGGGACAATCACACCTGTACCGGATACAGAGCCTGAATGAGCCAACGGAGCCAAGGCCAGAGTGACAGCCACAGACATTGTGGCCTCACTGCACAAAGCAAACGTCTTCGGCTGCACTGCTGGCTCAGAGCACTGCCAGCTGAGCTCAGGGTTTATTTTTAAAATACAGATCCTCAGGGTCATTTTCTCCTTTCTTCAGTTCACCACAAATCGATGTCGTCACTGGGGGAAAACAACCTTACAAGAAGAATCCTGTAACAACCACTATTTCAGGAATTCTGAATTTATGGTTTCACTTCAGTGTTATTTCCAAATAGATAAAATCTTCTGGTCTTTTCTTTGAAAATATCAAACGTTCTCTGACATATCTTTCAGATCCCCCAGAATTAGTTGATCATTTACATACATACAAAGGCAGATGGACAATAAGGAAGGAGTTGCCCCAGAAAGCTCAGGCAGTACCCCCAGTGGGTAAAAACATTACCAAAACACAACCTGAGCAGAGCCTGTTTCCCTCCTTCAAGATTCTTATACCTTGTTTTGATGCAGAGCCCTGGCACTCGTTCTGCTGGAAGGCACATGCCATACTCGTGTCTGCTGCCATCTGCACAATAACCTCATAAACATCTGAAGAGCCTTTTGATTTTTGGAACTGACTTTTAAAGTAAAGAAACTCATAACCAGCTTCAAAAAAACCTAAATCTTTAGACTAATGGGATTACCACAGTTGATATTCTTAGACCATATTTTCTATGTTTTCAAACTAAGTCTACTCTTGCATTAACTAAAACCAAAGCATATTTTTAAAAGGAATGGAGAACATATATTGGGTCCTCAACACAGTATGCAATTATGATCAAACCATGCCAAGGTGTGCTCTGCAGCAAACACAAATACCTACAGAAATCAGCCTCAACAGAACAAACAGCCCTTAGTCTGTTTTCAAATCTGGGAAGAACAGATTCATTTCTCTTTAGCTTGAAGACCGTACCATGAAATGCCAGTGGAATTAAATATCAAATTTTGATGCAGACATCCTAAAGGCTAATTTATGCATACAACAGGGACCCACAATGAAACGAAAGCCTTTACCTCAAAGACAACAGAAGTTGAGGATATGGAACAAGGGCACTGGCATGAGGACCAGGGAGCGTAGTTCTGTCTTCCTCTTCAGAAAGTAGTGATGTGCTGGTGGAGCACACTGGGTTGCACAGCTTAGCCCTTCAATGGCAGCCTTGCAACAGACATCAGCCTAGGTAGGTAACAGCTCCTGGAACTGTCTGGTGCTGCGTAATGAAACAAGACTGCACTGCCTATGCTTTATCTCCTGCTGGGCAAGGATGCAGTGCCCTGGCCCTTGGCAGTGTTTTCTATACACTTGTTCATCAGATGTTCTCCAGATCCAGAGACAGAGCTATCTGGAACTTCTACAACACAGCCTGCAGTGCACTGCATTGCAATGCAAATAGCAGCATAAATTCTACACCTGTGATATGTTACACTACAGATGTGTATGCAATAATTAATGCATTAATTCTGTTTACTATTAAGAAATAATTATATAATCTATTTTTAAGTAAGTTCTTGTATCAGATAACAACCTCTGCTTTCCTCTTTGCCCTCAGGTGAACATACATGTGTTCTTGCTACAGCAAAGAAAGTTGGAATGGACATCAGCAGTGCAAGCAGAAGATAAGACACAGACCACAATAAACCATCCTGACACTGGAAATCTCATTACAATTTTGTTCTTATCAACAGGCTCCATTTTCACAACTGAAGCAGAGTCAGCTCAAAACTGCTCTCCCTTGTTTACATTGGATTTTAGTGTGAACCTGTTATGACACAGAAACATTTGGATGCACTCAAAGCGTTCAAATTAAAAAAGAACAAAAAACATCTATCTATCTAGAATTATGCACTCAGTTTTCAGTATTTCAGAGAACAAACATGCCAGTTAGAGCCCCTAGTACAGAAAATCAAGATGGACTATTTCTTTTGACTTACAAACGTTATTCCTTTGAAATTCTATATTCTCCCCTCTTCTAACTTCGCTTTCACCTGAATAAAGACTGAAACACAGGCAACTACAGTGAGGGAGGAAGCAGATATTTCCTTTGCAATTCTCTTAATGATTCTTTCAATTCTACAGCTAACTCAAGAGAGGGGAGGAGTGTGGGTCTCTTCTCCCGGGCAGCAAGAGATGGAACAAGAGGAAACAGCCTTGATTTGCACCAGGGGAGCTTTAGGTTGTATATCAGGAAAAAAAACTTTTTCTGAAGGGGTTGTGAAGCAGCTTTCCAGGGAAGTACACAGGTCACTTCAAAAGCAATGCCTCCTGTTTATTTCCACAGAAAATAAAGCAGCTACAAAGAACACAACCACACAATTGATAAAGCACGTTCTCAGCTACAAAAGCACTATTTTTCAACACAGTCACCACATTACCTATGCATTTTCACCAGTGATGAACAAGCTTGCATGCTGCACTTATAAAAATCTGCACAAGTGGAGGTGACCCACTGTTTCACAACTGCTATGATGGTGACATTGCTAGGAAAATATTGCCCAAGCAGTCCAACTTCTACTGCGCTCATATCAACTGTTTGGTTTCCATCCACGTTCAGCAAGTGTCAACAAATGTCAATGGGTGCTATTTTTTCCACATGGAGGAATGCAAGTTCACACCTTTGCTTCATCTGCACTTCCACATCAGACCCATCCTGTCAGACTGCCCCTCTGCTGCCATCTGTCACACAGCAAAAAAACGTAACAGGATATTGGTTGGAAGGTTCAACCTCTACTGCCATCCCACCAACATCTGCCTCTGACACCGTGGGCCAGCATAATTATAAATATAGGAGGCATTACTTTTGGAGCAGCCTTCATAGTTCAGTCACCATTCCTGGAGGTATTTAAAACACACGGAGATGCAGTGCTCATGAACGTGGCTTAGTGGTAGACCTGGCAGTGCTGGGTTAAGGGATGGACCTGATGATCTTTGAGCTCTTTTCCAACCTATATGATTCTTCGATTTTAATGGGTGGAGAGATCCACCAGCCTTGAAATGAAACTGCTGCTCTTTCCAGAGTGAATGGACTCCCCTGCTGTCTCTGGTTTTGGTAACATACAGACAGGGTAAACCAATAATGCCAACTCACCTGGGCTCCGACCTCCACCCATCCCTGAGCAGCACACCCACTTCAGTGCCACATCTCTGTACACAGCACAGACGCTCGAGAGGACACATGGGCAGTAAGGCTGGGAAAATCATTTCAGTTAGAATTCTTATTCTTTATGCTTGGGGTAATTTCACCTCGTACCAGTTCATCTGTGCTCTTCACTACCTAGCTTCAAAATCATTTGTTCTGATGAAGCAAGAGGTAGGGAAGACAAGCACAAGTGGCCTGGCAGGGTAGAAGAGTTCATTTCTCTCTACAGGAATGCAGCTCAAGCTGCTGCAGAAAACACCTCCCCTGAACTCCAAACCTTCAACTGTTACACCATACCTGGAAATTTCTAGATTCATGTCATCAAGTCCTTATTGACCTATGGAAGAGGAATCTGCAACACAAAAAAGAAAAACAAATCATAAGTATTTTACATACATGGCCCAAAGTAAATTCAACTAACTTGCATGGACCTTCAGCTTCTCAACACACAAAATGCTCTGTGTTTCTCCTGGATTTCTAATAGAAGTGAGTGGGAAGCCGATCTTTGATCTGAAAGAAACATATACAGTACATGATAGCATCAAAGATGCATTTTAGAGAGAAGATGAAGAACCTGTCTAAATTCAAGAGCCAGAAAGTAGATTTATTTCAAAAAGCTTTGCATGGATATTGCAAGATATTGCAAGAAATCTGAGTGCTTTAGAAACTGGAGTTATAATGTAGAATAAACATTTAGAAAACACTGCCAGTTTTCTTGTCTTCAGATACTATTTTGTTTTTATAAGAACTTCTCACCATCAAATATACAAAAAAGGTGTAGTCTTTATATGCAGAAGCTTCTCTGAAATCAGTTCTTCCAAAGCTTTGTAAATGATTAGAAACAAAAAAAGAAAACAGCACAATTAACAGAATTAGTAAGAAAAATGATACACTTGTCAAAGGAATTAAGAATGCATCTTCCTCTTTGAACTGCTGCCTTGAGGCAAATCTCAACGCGACATCTACATCCAGGAGAACAGCTCTTAACCAGAGGTGGAATTATCCTCATGACATGGACGCTGTTTATTACTTTTTGCTCATTCTAGAAAGTGATTTTTAGGTGAAGATCCAGGTAAAACTTGTTTGAAGACTGACATACTAACATTCACTAAGGTCTTCAAGTTTCTAGACACTCAGGCTTCTGCTCTAGCACTGCTGACTGTCTTCACTTCTACTTGCAAAGTAGTACTACTAAAAACTTGGGGCCTGAGGATTCAGAAACTTTTCAGAAACCTTTAGACAATGATCAGACTTGCATCAGCTATTTTTCCAACAAAACACCCTTTGATCTCTCTTGAAGGCATCTGTTAATGTGCTGTTACCAACACCAAAGGAGCTGTAAAAAAGAAAGTAGTTCCCCACCTGTATGGCAATGAGAGCTGTCAAAATATCCTGCTACAGATCACAGTTTATTTTCAGGTCTTCCTTTCATATTACAAGTGCTCTCAAATCCATGATACTGTAGATCAACATGTGAACCACTAATGACTGACAGGTGAAGCCCCAGTGACTGGAAAAGTAAAAAAATCACTCCTATTTTAAAAGCGTTAGAAGGGAAGACCTCAGGAATTACAAAACAGTCAGCCCCACCTCTGTGCCTGAGAAAACCATGGAACAGATCCTCCTGGAAGCTATATTAAGGCAAGTGGAAAACAAGGGAGGTGATTTGAGACAGCCAGCACAGCTTCACCAAGGGTAAATCAGGTCTGACCAATCTGGTGGCCTTCTACGATGGAGTGAATGCATCACTGGACAAGGGAAGAGTGACAAATGTCATCTACTTGAAGTTCTGTAAGGCCTTTAACGTGGCCCCACACAACATCCTTGTCTCTGAATAGAGAGAGGTGGATTTGAAGGGTGGACTGTTCAGTGCATAAGGAATTGGCTGGATAGCTGCAGCCAAGGAGTTGTGGTCAATGGCTTGATAGCTGGGTGGAGATCAGAGATAAGTGATGTCCCATAGTGGCCCCAGTAGTTTAATATCTTCATTAACAACACAGAAGTGGGAGCGAGCACACCCTCAGCGAGTCTGAGGATGACACCAACCTGAACGGTGCAGCCAAAATACCATCCAGGAGAAATGCCACCCAGAGGGAACTTGACAGGCTTAAGAAGTGGGTTCACGTGAACCTCATAAAGATCAATGATGCCAAGTGCAATGATGCCACCTGGGTTGGGGCAATCTCATACATCAGCACAGACATGGGGATGGATGGAGAGAAGCCCTGTGGAGCAGGACTTCAGGATCCTGGTGGATGAAAAGCTGGATGCGAGGCAGCAGTGTGTTCTTGCGGCCCAGAATGCCAACAGCATCTTTTTACAATGGCATGTAGTGACAGGAGAAGAGGCAATGGTTTCAAACCGAAAGAGTGAATTTAGATTAGATACAAGGAAGAAATTTTTCATAATGAGGGTGGTGAGGCACTGGAACAGGTTGTCTGAAGAAGCTGTGGAATAGCATTTTGTAAGTGCTCAGTGCCAGGTTGGACATGGCCCTGCTCCAGCCAAAGAAGCCATGGCAGGGTGGTTGGACTCGACGATGCCTAAAGGCCTCCTCCAACTCAAACCACTTATGAGTTCATAAACACAAAAACAACTCAAGTTATAATAACAGGGATATCTATCTCAAAGGGCAGAAAACTATCAGATTTCTGACATCTTTTTCTCTCTTGGCCCCATTTGGGCCTATGAATATAATAAAAAAGTCCAAATCAGTTGTCATTCAGAAGAACTCCTGATTGCAGGAATGACTGACAAATTAAGTCCCATGCTTACTAGGTCTATAAAAGCCAGGTTACTTTTGTGATATTGGCTCTTCAGAGCTTGCTCCTTCTTTAGGCCAAACATTACTTAAGTTCTGCATTCAAAAGGTTGTCAGAACACTACAGAATAAAAATGATTAAATTATTTTAAGTGATTAAAAATGATAAAAATTATTCTGGTTAGAACCAGAATAAAAATGCCTTCAATCAAGTTGGTCACCACATGGGGAGAAAAAGAAATTCCTCAAGTCGAGGAGAAGGGAGCTTTAAAAGATGCTTTCCTCAGCTCTATTTCTGCAAGAAAAGTGAGTAATAAACTGAAATGTTAAGTCTCCGATGATGATATCAAGGGTGATATCACAAGGACACAGCCACTGAGCTTCTGATTTCAGACATGTTATGAAGCATCCCCAGGTAAACTTGGGAAGAAAGAGTGAATAGCTTAGATATCCCTAAGCACCACCATTCATCTTTATTTCTACATGTGTTAGAGTCTCCTTAGACACTCTAAAAAGTAACAGAAAGGGCACCCACCCGGAAGAAACATTTTTATTTTGCTTAGAGCTAAAATATAGCAATAGTTTCTGCCAGTGATCATGCAGTTTGTATAGCAGGAACCCAATCCTTGACTTAAGTAAATAGAAAAGCAGAGTCCCTTTGAATTACCAGACTGACAGACTGCAAAATAAGCCTAGTTTCTGTGGGCTCAGGAGATTATAATGCAATAATATAATAACCATTTTTCACTGTATATATTGCTCTCCTTTCCTGCCTGGAAACAACAATCAAACAGAGAAATCCCTCTCCTCTACCTCCTCAATTCTAACACATGAAGGGAATGAGATTAATAAAATTAACATTTCATACAAATTTCACAAGTTTGTAACAGTTTATAATCCAGAACAAGCATTCCTCAACAAGTTGTCTTAACTCCAGACAGTGAGAAATTCTGGCTTAATATCAGGTGCACGGTTCAATTTTGCCAGCTTCTTTACTGGCATGAGCACCTGACCGCCTGTTCTGTCTGTAATCTTCCAGCACACAGCCTTGGGTTAACAATACAAAAGCTTTTTTCTTTTTTTTCTTTTTTTTCTTTTTTTTCTTTTTTTTCTTTTTTTTTAGCAGAAATGGAGAAAAGGCTCCTCTGTGATGGCAAGGCTCTGTAACTCTCCTGAATACCTCGATAAACCTGAGCTTGCAGGCAGATGAGTCATCAGCACATTTTCACATCTTGCAGTTGTCCCTGGTCAGTCAGAGGCAGCCCGACTCCTCCGGAGGGCCGAAGTCCCACATTTGTCCCCTCCAACAGATCTTCAATTTGACTTTCGCACAACTTACAAATACAACCTCACCATCAACTTGCAAAATGAGAACGGCTTGCCTTCAGCTGCAGATCAGTAGCGTAAGCAACCTCAGCAAACATTTTCAAACCTCGCTAGCTAAAATTCAGAAGCCTAAACTCATATTATTCATCAATGCCCAATCTGGAAACATTCACCTCACGCTCTGACACCCAATTTTTCTCTCATTCAACCGCCAGTGCCTCTAAAATCCACTGCTTCAAATGATTCCAGAAGTGGAAGCTGCAATATAGCGCCTCCTCTTTTTCGGGAGCAGCTGTCGTTGCTCGCAAGAAAAGAAAATGCTTCTTTAATTCCACCGCTCTTCCACGCGAAGCGCTCGGAGCGCAGACGCCCAGACGCCCACCCGAAGGGCTTTTGCGACCTTCCTCACCGCGAACAGCTCGACGCCACCCCTCCCCTCTGTTCTGATCTCATTCTGCCTCGCTGCGCTCCGACAGCGAGCAAAGAACTCTCCCCGTGCAGAAGAGCGGTGTGGCGGATCGCCCTTTTCCTCCGGACCGCCAGCCAGGCCGACCGGCCCCGCTCTACGGCGCGGCAGCAGGTGGGACGCGGATCCGCCCGGCCGCTGCACAGCACGGCCCGGCGGTGCCCCGCGCCGCTCCCGCAGCCCCTCCGCGGTCACCGCCTCCCCTCCCCGCAGCCTCCGCCCTCCGCTCCCCGACCTCGATGACTCCGCGCAGCCCCCGGCCCGCCGCCTCCCCGCGCTGGCCCGTTCCGTCCCCGCCAGCGCTCGCTCCCTCTCCCCGCTCCCTCACCTCCGCCTCCCCCGGGCCGCTGCCTCGCTCTCCTCTCCCCCGGGGGCGGCGCTGACCCGGTCTCTCCGGAGACCCGCTCGGCGTCCGGGCCGTGCGCGCCCCGGGCGTGAGGAGGAGGCGGTGTCCGCGGGGCGGGGCCGGGAGGACCGTGCGGTTGAGGAAGGGTCGCCCGCAGACTGTAGGGCTTTAGTGGCCGCTGGGGGCGGGGGAGGCGTCGCTGCGGCCTTCTGGTGCCCAAAAGGAGCGCAGGAACAGGAGGGAGAGCTACTTTTTATGCTTATAGTGATAGGCCAAGGGGGAATGGGTTCTGAACAAAAGGAGGGGAGATTTAGGTCAGGTGCGGGGAAGAAATTTTTCACTCTGAGGGCAGCGAGGCCCCGGCACTGCCCGCAGCTGCCCCAGGTCGTGGATGGGCCCTGGACAGGCTGAGCTGGGGGCACCCAGCCCATGGCACAAGTGGGGCTGGGGGGGATGTGAGGTCCCTTCCAATTAAAACCATTCAGTGATTCTATGAAGAGGGTTTGAGGGCACCAACAAGCGAGGACAGACTGCTTCTAGTGACCCTGCAATCTGAGCTTTACCAGGAGTGATGTGCTCAGGAGGCTGAGGGCTCTAATAGGAAGGCTCATGTGTTACAATAATTGATGGAGATGTGGTCTTTTTGCCTTACCCAGAGTGCATTGGTATTTCCAGGACAAATCATACGGATATCAGAGAACCATTAAGGTTGCAAAAGATCACCAAGATCATCTAGTCCAACCATCATCATCATGCCCACTAAAGCCTAATTGACCCTAGGTGCCTTTTCTTGAACATCTTTGTGGTTGTGATTCCATCACCTCCCTGGGCAGCCTGTTCCCAATGCCTGACCCTTCTTTCCAATAAGTTTTTCCTAATAAGAGAAGCGGGAGTCAGCTGGAAGGGACAACTGTGCTAGGACGTGTATAGAATGGTGTATGTGCCATGGCAGCCCTAATAACAGAATGGCATACCACAGGAACAAAGACACCAGAGACCTTATATTCTCTGTCATTGTATGACAGTGTTTGCATGGTGCCATTTATCGCTGGCAAACTGAAAATGTAAGGCTAATGAATTAGACTGTTAGTTTATATGCAGTTTTCATGAGTTTGAATGAAAAAATGTAGGTGCAGTTGGAATCTTCATCCTGAGACTCTTGCTTCCCGATCTTGCCAACAGTGAGGGTGGTTAGTTGAACCCAGTATTTTCTTCACAAATGCAGAAAAAAAGGAGGAGTGAGGTCTCCCAGCAAACTGCAGCTGCCCTTGATGTGGAGAACCAATGATTTGGGTACTACATGTTATTTCAGCTTCTTGATGGGACAAGTCAAAACAAAGAGGAAACGCTGAGACAGTGGACTACAGCTTTGGAATCACTGCAATACAGCTGTGTAGATTTTAAGGCCAGAAAAAAAAAAAAAAAAAAAAAAAGGCAAGAGTCATCTATTCTGTCTTCTGCATTACATAGGCCAAAAAAAATTCCACCCCATCATTCTTGCTTTCAAGTCTAGGGAATACAGATCATGTGTACTGTTGTTTGCCAGTGTGCTGTAATGCATTCTAGGAGCACTTAAGACTGTTCCCTCATCTTACTAAAACGCTTTCCATCAGCTCGTTATTTCCAGGCTTTTCTGAAGCTGTAGCCAGGATGGATATGATAAGCGTTGTTATAAATACCTGTCTTGATAGCAATGTTAACAATTTGAAAACAAATATAATCACTTCTTACAGTTTTCTCTCTTACATATTATATTTCACATGCTCAGTTCCAGTGAAGCAAGATAGAATCATGCTTGTAACAGACTGATGGCTTGAAAATAGTTTGCTGTAGTAACTGGGTTGCCATTAATGCTTTAGCATCTGGGCAAACAAACTGGTGAATATTTACACGAAGAGTTCCAGCCCTAAAGTTACAATAAATTTAGGAATCTTTGGCTCTATCATACTCCCTTGGCAGAACGTGCATTAATATTCCTGTAGCTGATTGTCTAAACCCAGTTTAATACAGTGCTCAGCCTGCAGTGTCTGTATTTATAAATCCAGCTTCTCTGAATCTGATCCAAAGCCCACTGACATCAGTGAAAAACTCCCAGTGACTTTGAACGGATATGAACTGGGCCTTCCATGAGTATAAATCTGCTCATTTCAGTGTAATGCAGAGGGTGAAACAAAAGCATCTAAGACTGCTGGAGCAAAAGAAGGGGCTTTGCCCAGTCTGTTCCCCCCTCCACAGCCACCCGTCCCCCCCCAGATAGTGCTGACTTCCTCAGTTTGGAGGTGTAATATGAGTCATACTATCAGGAGCAGCAGTTTCTGCATAATCACAGCAATGACCAGCATAGAAGCAGCAAAGCACATCGCAAACCTGAACATTTCCATGCAGCAGAGCAATTCAGGACACAAAACCTCGTTGAGTAGCCTTGACCAGGAGCACAGAGACATGACCTGTGCTTGTCTTGTTGTTTATATAAATCACAGTGACTTTGAACTGTGGCTAGGAGTGCTTCTCATTCTGATGGAAGAGAGTGGTTCCTTAAAGCATTAAAAGGTGTCAGTTGTTTTAGGGGGATGTATGTTGATACATCCAAAGGGGTCTAATGCAAGGAAGCATACACCATCCCTAAATATCAGATGTCTTTGAGTTGTTTCATGAAACAATTAGGGTTTGAGGTACTTAAAAATAGCTCTAGAACATAGGCTGCTGAACTCATTTCAGGTTATTATATTACTCTATATCTGTGAGCTAAAAACAACAACTCGTGTTGTTAGAAAGTAGTCACCCACCAGCCGCTCAGTGTGGACAATACTGTGTTCAGATCTCCCAAAAATCCTCTAGTTACAGCCCATGAAAGAGTCATCCTCTGAAATGCTTTTCAACACGTTCTCCTAAGGCTCTGACAGGCTGAAGGTCACTTTGCCTGCAATCTCTGGTTATGATGTGCAGGAAGACTCGAATGTGTCTGTGTCAGAGTGCACAGCACCCTCATGTGGAAAGCCAAAGCACATGCACACCCATCTCTTGGTATGACCAAACTCCATTTATACGCGTATGAATGGATTATGGCATGGAAAATAGCGTGGCAATAAATAAAGTAACTGTTGCAAATTACATGCTGCCTAAATGGCATACTACAGAGTGGAGCACTGGGCATTACTGCGGGGGAAATAACTGAAAGGCACAATTAGGTTTTGATGGTTTGTGACTGGTGGCATAGGAGGTTATGTGGGCTGGGTTCCTCCCTTTTTCCAGCAGATTTATGTAGGAGAAAGTAATAAAATAATACAGATCAAGGAACAGAGAATGGCCAACAGCAAACAAGGGAGGCTGAAAGAGATAAGACAGCAGTTCCAAGCAAGGAGGAAATTGGCTGTGTGCTTAATTTGGGACAATAAAGTTTGTGTTTGTTCTCAGGATTTGTAAATGCATTTATCTATCTTCCATACAAAGTGCAGATGTGCTCTTTGTAGCAGTGACTGAGGCACCAAAGGAAAGCACCTTCCTTTCTGAACCATGCACTTGCTCACTGTTGCCCATCACCTCACCTCCCTGTGTACGGGCTGGATTCTGGGATGCATGACAAGAAACCTTGATGAGAAAAATCCTAGAAATCCTCCCTGCACTGGTTTTCAGGGGATTTAGAAACAGGAATATCTGCTTGTGTAGGTGAAAGAAAGGTGCAGAAGATCTGCTGGTACAGAGGCACCTGTGGATACCCACAGCAGCACAGCTCCAGATGCATGAGGACTTGCTAGTGTGAGCTGTGCTGTGAGAGTTCGGAATGGCCGCAGAGCAATGCTCTCCAATACCATTGTTCTGGCAGCTGATCATGCATTTATCTTTCCAATAATAAAGCTTCACTTTTGCCAAAACTCAAACACAGAATGGATCGTGTGCTTTTTGTTAGTGACTCTGTGATGAGCCAAATGCCAGCCTTTTCTTGCTGTTAAATTGCCTCTCTCACTTTGATTTCATATGCACAAATGCAGACAGGGCTGTGCTTCCTCACCTCACAGAGTAACAAGTTACGTAAACAGGGTCCACTTCCACTTTTTAGTGACTCCCAAATGCTCTAATAGAAGTGCCATAATCTTCTGCAATGATCCCAAACATTGCAGCTCGCAGTGATGTTAGACTGTTTTGGAACAAAACTGAACTCTTTTGCCCTTGATTACTTTTCAGTCTGTTTACCTCTGCACATTCCAGTGACCTTTTCAGACCTCAGAGGGAGGTTGTTTCAGCAGTTCAAGTGTTGATAATGTTTGCAGTGCTGTGGTAGTCAGGGAGAGTGGCAGTGAGAGGTGACCCGAGGTGTGAAACGCTGCTTGCACACTGGGGGACCGGCTCAGATGGACACATGTATGAGTGCACATACAGTCCCGTGCAGTTCAACGGCAAATGAAACTGACCTGTTTCAGTGAGTTATAAACCTGCACCAAACTTCATGGTCTTCATATTTTCCTTGCACCAACACTGGCATTGATGCAGAGGCATGCTAAGCCAGCTCAAGGACATGATGTCACTGAAAATTAAAAAAAAAAAAAAAGATTTTCTACTCACACAGTCTTAATTTAACAAAGAAATCCAAGCCCTGATGGTGTTCCAGTGTACATACCCAATTTTTGCCGCCTATCAGCTGCAGCAAGTAGGGGTAGAAGGGAAACTATAATCAAAAGTACCAGCAGAGAAATCTGACAGGTGTCCACATTAACTGCCAAGCAGAATGAAGCAGCAGTGAGCTGGAAACAACTCTGATGCCAAGATGGTGCAAACAAGATCTATTACTTATCTGCACCTCGTTCCTTTAGCTGCATTTATTGTCAGCCACTTTAAAAAACAAACCAAAAAACATATGCTTGTGGCAATTTGGATATAAAGCAAGTATTTCTGTCCTGTTGCATTCTTTATGGTCACTGTAGTGTGCCTGGTACAAACATTTCATTGAGCAGCTCCAGGAATATTGGCAACATTTCTTTTTAAAAGTACCTTATGTTCATCTTTCTATGAGCATCACAACATGCTCAATCTTGTTCTTGAGGATAAATCCTACATATTTCTGCTCTC